GGTACTTGGTTTTGATTTTCTTGTCTAGATAACTTCATTTAGGAAGGCTTCTGAGCCCTCTAAGTTGCAGTAACAAGAAACCCAGATAACTCAGAATTTGCTTTTTGTCGGCTTTTTGCAAAAGATCTTTCTTCTGCTGCTATGTTTGCAAACACATTAGGAAAACCCCCTTCTGCTTAGTGTCAATAACCCATTATTACTTATTTCCTAAGAAACACAGCTTTAAGAAATTATTCTCCTTAAAAGCTAATCTTTTTCATTTAGAATACACATTTGCTCCTAGCTTCACAAGTGAAAAATATTCTTAAAAAATATTTCATCTGAAAAATTATTCTGGAAGACAGAATAATTCCAAACTACATAATAAATAATTTGTAATAATTACGCTTCATATTTTAGCTTCAACAGATCCCAATATACATGGGACTTTTGCTGAGTAAAGATGGCACAATTCAGCCTCCAATGGCTCCTGCAAACCTTTTCCCCTGATTTTACTTGCCACTTTGAAATGTTATCCCTTTCTGGTGAGTAATCCTGTGCTAGATTCCTTTGCTTCTTAAACGAACATTATTCTCACCCTTTATTGACTGACCACATCTATTATCACATGTAAGCAGTGTTAATCCTTTAGTAATTAACACCCTTATTAAAGTAATTTTAACTCAAAGAAGTTTAAATCGTATTATTGGTTTTATTTAATTAAGCTACAGTGACTGTTTTACACTGCCATTTGAGTTTTCAGCTAGTGTCTTCTCAATCTACCAGCTACGCAGTTTCCCTCCATCCCTCAAGTTATCTGTGTATTTCTTTCTAGGAATTATTCAATATTATTCTGTTTCACTGTGAACTTTTTAAACTATTCTCTATGTCAATGGATGCAAAACTTAGACATTATACTGAACATACTGCCATTCCCAAATCTATTATTTGGATGTGCATTTCAAAATTATATTATCAAATCTATCCTTCCACAGGGCTCAATATCTTGTTAATGCTTAAAACAAAAGAGACAGTTTTAATGTCCTACTCACACATCCTAAGCAATGGCAAAGACTTTTATTTAAACTTTAGACTGGCAAAAAGAAATGACAATCTGAATGCGCCGAGTTGTGCAGCTTACAAAGGCTGGCTCAGCATTTTTTGTTACTTTGAAAATAAGTCAGGTTTTAAAATGGCATTTGTGTGTGTGTGTGTGTGTGTCTACCACATGTTCCTTTCTATGGGAAAACATCTGATGGCCTATGTTCTCTTATAGATCTCAGGTAAGCTACCCAACTGACGTGTTTGACACAGGGTCAAATGATGAAAACTGTCTTCTGATTTAACTGCATCATGTTACACTGTGCACTCTGGAAGAGTGTGGGCTAATTGCGTGTCCTCCTGGAATGATTTCCTGGAGGCATGCCACTGTAAACCAGGAAAGCTCGCGGTCTCCTTGGAATAAGGCAACCCAAAGGTTTCATGGGCTTCATCTACCATTAACTGTGTATGGAAAGTACTTTCTTTCCTTGGGGTAAAAATATCTCTTCAAATTTCTACCATTTTAAAAAGAAATGTTCTTAATGGACTCAGTATAAACCATGGAAAATGATAAACACAGGAAAGAAAAGGATAAGAACAATAAAGTACATTTATAGACAGGAACTGACGAGTTGTTTGGGGTTTTTTTAATCCTTTGTCTCATGTCTTTCTTTTTTTCTCCCCACCATCTACTGCTTCCAGCTATTCATCTTTTGACTTTCTCCCTCCATGTCTTTCAATTTCTGTACTTTATCATTGTTTTTTCTGCCATCATCACTCTTTTTATGGTTATGGAGTCTCCTAGGTTACACTGCTCCTTTGCTACTAATGCTCTAGGAAAGTCCTTTAGGTTCTAAAACACACCCTATATGTGAATCTTCTATGTAAACTTTATTTGCTATTTTAATACCCTTTACAGTGCAAGTCGTAATATGATAAATTGTTGCAAACCTGATGCACTTGTAAGAGTCATACATATTAACATGGTATAAGCCAGTATGATAGAAAACTGTGCCTAAGAACATGCTGGTTCAGTCATACTGCTTATAATACAACTTGTTTGTTTAGAAACCAGTTATTTATGTAACAGTATGAAATTCAACCATTTCTTTTGCCACCAATTAGTATCTTTATACTAACAGAAAGAAAACACGAGAGTTTCATCTCACAAATTTCACTGACTCTCTGGAAGCAGCCAGACAGTCAGAAACATATATTTTATTTGTATTTCTGCAGTGCTAAAACACTCAGCTGAAGGTCAGTGACACATTATGATTCCAAACTGTACAAGCATGACCTTTTTTTCTAAGACACTATGATCCAAACATTCATTAACTACTTTTCACTTAAGTCCTTGCCATACTACATGTATGCAATTCCTTCCCCGTGTTGTTGTTGTTCTGAAACACAGAACAACTCTTGTCCTCTTGCTGTAAAAGATTCCTTTGTTTTTACTGGATTTTACATTTGATCTACGGCGACTTCCAGAGAAGAGACAGACTAACTTTCACAAAAGAAACTATCAAAAGGAAAAAAATGGGGTATTATGCCTCCTGTCTGTGATTGACAGACAATTTAGAGAAGGAATGAAACCTAATTATGTTATGATGCAAATGAAGAAATACTGACGGTAAATCTGTAGGGTTAAGGGGTTATTAGTGTTGCCCAACACATACTACATACCAGTGATATTACCAGCTCACCTAAGGCTGGAGGATGTAAGCAATTTCAGGGCAGAAATTACTGAATACTCTTAATGCAGTTACTAGTCCCACAACTCCCTAATGGGAGACTAGAACTCACAGAGAACACGAGAGAATACAAGTAACAACTTGAAGGAAAACAATCATTTTCTTCTCTTGTGTTGTTCAAATAAGAATGCTCATCCATTAGTCATAGGAAACACATATCACCCACAGGATTCAGAGGAAGTCCTGTAGAGCTGGGGACCCCAAAACTGATTTCCACACATCAGCTCAGGGGTCCAGAAGGGGCCAAACACACCGGTAGAGATCCTGCAGGAATTGGCCATCAGCAG